TCGTCATCAAATTTGAATACAACTAGTTATTTATCCAAACAGCCTCATCTTTCTCACATCTGCTTTCTGATATATATCACAAACAGATTTAAGTGACCTTGCACCAAGAACTACATAATTTAACTGACTTTCTAGCAAAGTTATAAATAGGTTAAAAACATTCCATTACTGCAATGAGTTCATTAAACACTGCTGTCTCCCCCTGAAATATAAACAAATGATATACAGACACACACACATGTATATCATTAAAAAGAAATGAACTAAGAGGGCAGTACACTGAACTTAGCCCTTTCTACTGGTTATAGAAACTTTTCAGCATCTGTTTGTAATGGTAAAACCTATATTATGTTAGATAAATTGTGTAGATGTATAAACGCGACACCGGAAAGTGAAGAATGAGAATCTATTTCTTCTTCAAATTAAAACTTAAATAATATTCGAATATAAATTTAAGTTAAGCTACATTTTGATACCAAGCTTACTGATAATAAAGTGGTTTAAGTAAATTTTTAAGGTAACTTTCTAAAAGACACGTGTTTATCCACTCCCATCTAATTTCTGCTTACGTTGGTTCGTATATTAGCCTGGTTCTCTGTCTTGTCATTCTCTATATTCAAATGCAGGTGGCTAAAATATAACTTATATATCTTGTTTTACACAGAGCATGGTGTTCATCAATTCTGAATTTATATAGTACTGTATTCAACATTATTAGAAACTTGCATCACATTTAATTGAACTAACTTTTAACCAATCAAAATGTGTCAAACAATTTTAATTTTTTTTAGCTCTATGGCTGAACTGAAATGATTTCACTTTATACATAAATTACCTTTTTTCATCACTAGACATCAGTGACACTACTTTATGATGACATGATAAAACAGTACCAGTAAATTTATCAGATAATCCACAGAAGTAACTGGTCTTCAGTGTGGACCGGTACAATTAATTACGCTAACATTACATAGTTCAAGTCAAACAAACTTAAACAGGTCAAGTTCAAAAGTCAAAAATTTTCCACAACAAAACATAATAATAATATTATTATTACAAAGTTCATACATTTCAGAAAATGAAGTTTACAGTTCTCTAAAAATCTTCAATACAGGCTTAAATTCTATAACTATATAGTTAAATAAAAATACCAGTACTGAAACATTCCATTATTCTCCAGTCCTATGAAAAACTTAACACAGAATCTCTACTTAGTCAATTCTAATAATAATAGTTTCATCATAAGAGACCCTGAAGTTCATTATTATAAGATAATTATAGTCACATTAGCCTTTATTATCAAAAACGAAAAAAAAGTGATAAGATTACAATTAATAAGTAAAGAATTCCAAGTTTAGAAATTTTTTTTTATTCTATTACCTGATTGTGAGGCTGATACCATGAATGGCTGTGGAAGATGTGGAGGCACTCCTGATTGGCCATACGACTGGTAGGGTGGGATGGCTCCAATAGGTCCGTAAGTTGCCGATTGATTAAAGGTAGAAGTGGGCGGAAATGGCATACCAGCCACTGGAGCAGAGTGCTGAAACACACAAAGAATATGTGAAATAGATACTAACATCTTAATTTGGTTTCCTTTCAGTAATTTCAAGAATATGTTGTAACATATGAACCACACTACATCTGCCACATACCGAGCTCGCTACAAAACAAACAAAGTAGCGGTCTACGTACTCTAACATTGAACATTCAGTTTTACTCATCTTTGATACTTTTGCAAATTAAAAATCATTATCATCACTGTATTGGCTCATATTTTCCATCTTGACAATTATCTTTGTTAGGCCTACTATCCACAAAATGTACACAAAACTGAATTACACCTTTAACTTTTCCCCATCAATGTTAAAATCAAGGTATGAAAGTAGAGCTACACTGTAGAAAAAAAGTCATTATAAACTTAAACATTGATGCACAAGTATCTCACGTGACAATGATTGAACCACCACGGTTTGCAATGTATACAAGATGGATGAAACAATGCTTAATTTTAAAATTCCATATTTTTAAATGTTTCATAGTACATTTTATAACTCAAGTTGTTGCCTTGTTAATATATGTATATTTTTTTAAATATTAAAATAATTTATCAGCTGGAAATGGATGTGATGAAACATCACGATAACACAGGGAACAAATATTCTTCTTTGGTAGCTCAACAAATGTTTCTAGCAAGAAGAAATGTATAACCGTACCTTCTTTACACACCCATTGTATGTTGGTGCTAGTGTGCAGCATGGAAAGGTTTAGTTGTAATGCTATCTGTAGCAGGACTTATAGAAGTCACGGAATAAATCTTATCATTTGGCAACCTATTATCCGTGGGTAATACCTACCTAACCATTAGTTTAAACAACCGATACACTATATACTACTACATTACTCCATCTAAAATACCTCTAAGGTTTTCACAGCATAATAATAATAATACAAAACGAAACTAATAAAAAAAACTATCTTAATGAAAACTAGGAATCCATTTGAAACTGTACTTGTATATATACCACATGAACATAACTGGATTTCAAAAATAAACCACTCTTGTATAGAAGTTCACAGCTTGAAGTGGCCCTACTAATGATTGCAAATATCCACAAATACACTTGCAATAAGGTCAAATATTTTCAACCACAAGTACATTGCAATATCTTTTGCAGAAACCATCAGAAGGATCATTACAATGGAGATCAAGCCACTATCAATTCAACACAGTATCTTTGTTAAGTCTTTTAACATCTGCCACACGAGCCAGCCCAGCATCTTTTAGTACTGAGTCTAAGATGGTACAGTCAACGGGGGATTGCGCGGGTCATACTGGAAACTGGTGGTTCAGGGTTATTTCAATAATATCAATGAATAAAGCCAAGCAAAACTTCTAAAATGGAAAAAAAACAACAAAAAAACATTAATTAAAATTTGACATGAAGAAATTTATATGGATTATACCATCCTTCCTACACCACACTGGTCAACATACCATCCTTCCTACACCACACTGGTCAACATACCATCCTTCCTACACCACACTGGTCAACATACCATCCTTCCTACACCACACTGGTCAACATACCATCCTTCCTACACCACACTGGTCAACATACCATCCTTCCTACACCACACTGGTCAACATACCATCCTTCCTACACCATACTGGTCAATATACCATCCTTCCTACACCATACTGGTCAATATACCATCCTTCCTACACCATACTGGTCAATATACCATCCTTCCTACACCATACTGGTCAATATACCATCCTTCCTACACCATACTAGTCAATATACCATCCTTCCTACACCATACTGGTCAATATACCATCCTTCCTACACCATACTGGTCAATATACCATCCTTCTTATATTTACTCTTCATTACAGAAATAACATTTTTACTTTGAGAATTGCTCAGGGAATCATCTTGTGATGCATGATGCATCTGCTTCGACACAGCATCTTTGGGCTTTACTGTGCCTGTTAGTTTCACAAAACTAATGATTTCTTGTGTGATTCCAACCCCCTACTGTACCCATATTTTTTTGTTTTATTGTCAATCACCTGACAAATCTCCAATTCAGCTGGTATATCAAACTGAGTGGGATATATTTTGATAAGTTCTTCCCTCAACTAACCTATACCCATGGTTTAACACTTAAACCATCACAAACACATGTAACAACATTTCAAACATGTTACATAGCTACATCATTTTACTTTACATTTATATGTTAACTTCTCCATGTTGGCTCTCATGGTCTCGGGTCCAGTCCAGCAATCTAAGACTTTGAAAATAGTGCCAAACGTCTTTTTGTTTAATCAAAACAACTCAAACATTTCTGAAAAAAAAGACTCTTTGGGATCCACATCGAGATGCTTTGTGTGGCAGGTGTTAATAACATTTTATGTTATCCAATAAGTTTATTTCGGTTGTGCGTGTATATTACAGATATAAATAAACATTAAATTCCTCTTCTTATTCTCATCTTACTTCAAACCAAAACAGTAAAGTATATTTCCTCAAATTTTATACATGATTTGAGTCTTTATTGATTAGTCTGTGGTAATTAATAGTACCTGCTTCAAATAATTTTATTTCTGACACACTGGAATGTGGATAATGAAATATAACCAACTATTCATAATAACTTGACCTTAAACATAAAAAACATACATGAAATGTCTGACTTACCAAATATGTACAGACTAAATTAACCAGATGACAGAGTAGGCAGTTGCCTATGAGCCCAAGGTGTCAAGGGGCTCATCGTAATTATAATTTTTTCTAACAGCCTTCTCAGTAGTAGTCTATTGGCCGACTATAAACTTAGCCCTGTTCTGCATTTATATTTTAACACCTGGCTAAACCTCAATTAACATTTTTAATGAGTGCATGTTCTGTAGTGTATCTATTTTTTTAAAAGTCTAATGCCATTTTAAGATAAAGCAAAACTAAACCATCACATCATAAACATTGTAGATTAACAATCAAACATGACCTACTTCAACAGATTACAAACTTGTGCCCGATCATAAAATTAATGTTTACTTACTAATGAAATATAAAAACAATGAGCTATTTTAACTTTACTTGTCATAAAACATTAGTTTTAGGCCTATTACATTTTTAAACACCACATTCTTTATCTAGTACGTTAGGGATTTATTAGACACTTCCAATTCTTGAAAAACCACCAGGGAATTAAATAAAGAATGCAGTGTTTAAAAATGTAA